CTTCTTGCTGCAAGCTGTAGTTTCAAAAGGATTCTCGTCTTGACCATGGGCGGTCAGACGTTAAAAGCATATTCATGCATGCACGTATGTACAAACTTTTCCAAACTACATTACAAACATACAGAACATTTCCAAACAAGCAACAAGAACTTTTCTCTTTGAAACATTCTTCTAAATCTACAGTTTATTCAGCAGTTCCCAGTTTTGTAATTATTTCAACTTTTGTGAGTTCAGATAAAAATATTCACAATCTAAGGGACATAACTCCAACAGATCTTTAACTTCTACGCATGTACATCAACACACAAATAAATACAAATGTTATGTTTTTGTTTCCTTCTTGTATTTCATGTTATGTGGTATTTTACGTTTAATATAAATTGTGTGGTCATGTTATTCATGCAGCCATAAATAGACATCTACAATTGTCCATTCAAACAAATAGACCACTACAAGCTATTTTCTCTGGTGCCCTGATTACATGAATTTAAGCATGTTACTAGGTTGGCATCTAGGTTTCACTCTTTAACTGTTGAAACAGTTAAATTTAACTGCCACTTTTACATAAGGAAACTCTCATCTGAACTCTTTTTCTATTCTTTACATATAAAACAACAGAGTTCACTCACACACACTGATAATTCTCAACCCTCTAAAACTGACAAGAAATTTATTTTTAAACATTAATGTTAAGAAAGATAAAAATATAAAAATTAATCTACAACTGGTATCATGTACAGAAATGTTAGTTTATTAGACATCCTCTATTTCATAACTCAACATAAAATATTAAATTTTCTATAAAATAGTTTGGAATGGTTTAAATATATTATCATTTTGTCCCTGTTAAGCTGAACCACATTTGTTTCAAGTCAGTTAATAGGTTGAGTATTGCCTTCATTCCAAAAAGTAAGTCTAAAGTCCAGGAACAAGAAAAACCACTTGTTTTTCTTAAACTAGTGGATTGGAAGTTAAGAAAAAAAATGCATAATTATAAATGTAAGGGGAGATAACTCTAAAGTAATATGAAAACGGACTTGAGGATATATGAGGAAGATAACAGTTAATCCTAGTCTTGGACAGGTTAAGATTGTAGTGATCGGAGAAGCATTCTATTTGGGGTCAGTTCTATAAAGAAGAAACTGCTCAATGTGGATATGTGAGGAAGATGACAGTTAACCCTAGACTTGAACAAGTAAGATTATAGTGATCAGGGAAGCATTATTTTGGAGGTCAGTTCTACAAAGCTGTGGTTTGTGGGAAGAAGTTGGTCGATACAGATATGTGGGGAGATAATGGATAACTCTAGGCGTGAGCAGGTTAAGATTGTAGTGATTGCGGAAGGAACCTTTTGAGAGTTGGTTCCACAAAGTGGCAGTTTGTGGGAAGAAACTGTTCAAGTGTGGCACTTACATCTCACCAGTGGAATACGAAGGAAATAAGGGGGGTTAGGTACAAAGGGCGTGGCATGTTGGGTTTTAGTAGTTAAGTTTAGAACAGGTGGAGCTAAGGAATAATATTAATGTTTTGCAAAAGTTTCTCCCATTTTTGATAAGATCTTTTATTCACATAAATTCATGGCATCATTATTCAGTTATCAAAGTATTTTTGAAAAAAATATTGCTAGAAACTAATATAATAACTAATAATCAGCCTAATAAAAACACTTTGTATACTATTTACATTATTCGGACATTGTCCTCATGTTTGTCGCCATGTTTATTATGTTTTGGCCCTTCAGTATCTGTCTATATTTCTGAGATCAGGTATTATGCACACTATTCACATTATTTCAACTATTGTCCTCATCTTTGTCACCATATTTATTACGTTTCGGCCGTTGTATGCTTTGGCCTTCTTCAGGTGGTTGGAATGTTGAACTGAACCCTTTATTTCGCTCACTGGAGTAGACTGTTCTTGCTCCACATGCCATGTTTAATGGATGTCAGTTATCATGGTACAGTAGATAAAGGCGTTAGTTAGATCCAGTGACAGGACCCAAAGTGTGTGAGTTCAATACCCGGTTAAGGCAGTGGAGAACTTGGAGAGGGAATTAACAGGAGATAACTGATAACTAACATCCATTTTCTTTTTTTTGGAACTAGAACAGTCTACTCCAGTGAGCGAAATAAAGGGTTCAATTCGACATTCCAACAACCTTTCCTTTATCGGAGGATCTTTTGCTTTCGGCCAAATTTTTTTATAAATATTGCAAAAGATGAGGAAAAGGTCTGAATAGTGTAAATAGTGTACATAATACCTCATCTCAGAAATATAGACAAATACTGAAAGGCCAAAACGTTGTGATAAATATGGCAACAAAGATGAGGACAATAGTCCTTAACAATGTAAGTCAAAAAATAAATAAAACTTCATCTCAGAAATATAGACAGATACTGAAAGGCCGAAACGTTGTAATAAATATGGCGACAGAGATGAGGACAATAGTCCAAATAATGTGAATAGTTTACAAAGTGTTTTTATTAGGCTGATTATTAGTTATTATATTAGTTTCTAGCAATATTTTTTTCTTTTGTCAAAATTGTTTATTAATGTCTGACTCCTCCCTCTCTGTCAGATCAAAAATGACCAATAAAAACTTTGCCTTCACAGAGATTGGCAAACAAGCTGAGAAAAAGATGAAAACAAATTCACCAGACTTTCTGAATTTTTCTTTGGACCAATGAAAACCTTTCCTTCACAGGAATTAGCTGTTGAACCTAGTAAAAGAAAGAAGAAAAAAAAAAGAAAATAGCAAGCATATGTGAAATCCTTTTTGATATAAAATAAGAAAAAATAATTAAATTAACAAGGGTATCTGAAATCATATGAAGTTTCATTTCTCTTCAGACATTCAGTATACAGATTTTAGCCAGTTTCAAATTACTCACTAATTATATTATTGGCCTTAAAAAAGCACTTGGCACTTGAAAGAACTTTTTCACCAATCCAAGAAAAGCTAAGTATTTTAAACCCTTTGTCTAATTTTGGACATATGCAACCATATACCCCTTCTGTGAGCAACAAACTGTCTTTCATTTGTTTTAAACATTTTTGAATATTATTTTGTGTCAGATCATTTAATCTGTTGTATGAACATTTCCTCTTCATGACAATTTGTTAAATCAATGATTCAATCAATTGTTCATTTTAACCCAGAAGTCCCACGTCACTATAATTACATTAAAAAAGAATCAACGCTGAGCAAAAGTTTTTTTGGAATGTTTTTCTTTTTTATGAATACAAATTGTATCCTTCTTGTGCAACAGAGTTCATAGCTATAAATTTTGAACTTGAACTTTCAAAGTAAATTTCTTTTGTTGCTAAAAAAAAAAGCATGCACCTCATTCCACATTATCATTTTGTTGACAGTAACACTCTAGCTTGAGTGGCTCTTGAGTCTTTTATCATAATTGGTCCATTTGTGTAAAATCTGTTGTCCTATTTTAAAATAGAAATACCAAATTTTTCCAATTTATCAGCAAAATTCAAATTAAGTGATAAACTTTATCAGTAATACACTTTAATAAACCTAATAATTAAGGTGACATAAAAAAAAATGAAACCTTAAAATCTTTTGTTTGATATTCATAAATTTATCCCATCACTTTTATCCCATCACTATGGAAGGAAACCAAGCATATTGAGAGCATTTTATTTTCACAGTTGGAAAGAAACTCCAACTAAAGACAACCCAATTGAATGCATCTATTCCATTGTACATTATACTGCTGGAGTATCAAAAGGGACTTAAATAACACTGAACATAACAGACAATCAAGAAAGAGAAAATTTTTACCATAGTTCTTATGCTCATGAAGGTTTTATTTCTGCTGTTAGTTTATTAAATGATTTCCTGTAAATATTTGTTTGTCTTGGTATATTCGATCGTGTTGTTATAAAATAAGACATATCTCAGCTGATTTACAGGCAAATACTCAAGAACGAGAACCGGATGTGAACGGAACAAAGCCCCATCACAAAATGACCATTATCTTTCTTTACAAATGTTCCAGACACATGTGTTCCGGTCGAAAAATAAAATAATATTTAAAGTGCTCTATTTTTCGTCCAATAAAAATGCTTCCCTCCTAATTATACTCGCTTCGTTTCTCGAGCCTGTTAAGCCATAAAAAAACGCTATAAAAGGAGTCACATGGAAGTTCAACCTGTCACGGTCAGGCCGAGCGATCAGCAGCAGGAGAGCATCAACCACTGTCAACATGTGTGAACTACTATGAGAGATTGACCTAGATCCGAAGCCAGCTTATGAACTTTACCACAAGGTAGCTGTCCCAAACCCACACGTTCCTGTTGAAATAAACCACGTAAATCTTTTTCTGCTGTTGTCGTATTTCTTTCTTGCAACCATTCGCTTGTCTATAACAGTGTTATTTCTAAAGACTTGATTGTTATTGCAAAACTAGTATCTCTCAATAGGCAGACAAATATTTGTTTGTTTAAAAATGAATTGACAGGTTTCTATGATTTTATTTTGAAAAATATTGTCAGTCAGTATCGTATATATATATATATATATACGGAAAACAAAAAAAAAAAAATGCTTTTTTTTTTTTTTTTTTTTCAAAAAATGAGGCATTTCTGTTCAACAAAAATAGTAGCTAACCAAGAAAACGTAAGGTCATTTTCAGCTTCAGCACCCTCAAATTTGCTAAAAAAGGTGTTTGGTGTCTTGACACCATTTAAATTTTTTTTTTTTTTTTTTGTTAACCAGTGTTATCTGGACAATGTTTTGTCCATAAATGGATTCATTTAAGGCTTTGATCCTAATTTTTGGCAAAAATACATTTCTAAAACCATTTCTATTATTGCCATATAATTTGAGCAGCATTCAATAACAATTGCTGAAAATACACAATTTTCTTTTTTTGTAGTTTATGAACATTTTCTTTTCTTCAAATTCCAGGTAAACAATCTGAACTAACCAAAGGCATTTCAGTAGCAAAATAAGTTGAGCATTTTCAAATTGTGAGCAGAAAATGTCCTCTGCAGTGGCAAGCATTGTTTCCAGACGTCCTCTCCATTATGTCTTCAAAATCGGTAACCGAAGAGCCAATCTGGAATTCTTCAGAGATATTCTTGGAATGAAAGTAAGTGTTTTTCTTCTTAGTCTTCCTCCCTGCATGACAAGTAATGAAAAACAATTCTATCATTTGTAAATCAAAGCTAGTTTTGATTGATGAATATTGGAATGAAGAAATAAACAGATGTTTTATATAGTCAGAGGTGGAGGTTTACAAAATTTGATTAGGACTTTAAAAATGAACATTTTAAAACTATGTACAGATAGCCATTCCTATTTTTTTTAGGCAGGAATGGGATTAATCTCCCACAAAGTAAGGACAAAGGATTTGCTATAATGATTTAAAATGTCATAAAATTAAAGAAATTCAAATAGCTTCATTCCACCTTACAGCCAGATTATGTTGAAACACTGGTTTTCATACGATCACCAAAGTTAAGCAACATTGAGCCTGGTCAGTAAGTAGATGGGTGACCACTTGGGAATACAAGGTGCTATAAGCTTGGATGTGCATGTGGTGTCATGGATAATGACTCGGAACTGTTAATCGGAGAGCAGAGTTCCAATTCTGGTTGGGTTCTTTATAATATTCACTTTTGTGTAAATATCCTTGGGAAACGTATGAATCCACCTCTTTTCCTCCAGCTATGAGGTAATTAGTAAGACGTTTATCACTATAATCATTATCTAAAAACAAAATTGCATACAAAATATTTAGATCTTGATATTAATTAACCCATAGAGGTGTTGATATGCCACTAAACAAAAAACATCAACTTCATTTCAAACTCTCTTCTCAAAACTTAAAAGCAGAAAAAATAGGAACACTGTATACATTCATGTATAAACTGACTATAGTGCGACCCCTGAATTTTTTTCATGAATTTTAACTCCTCTAGAAATGATTTACCTGTCTATAGTGCAATCAGTTACCAAAAATTAAATCTTTGAAAAAAAAGTGGATATAATGAACCCAACTGGAATTGGAACTTAGCTCACAGATTAACAATTACAAGATATTATCCATTACACTGCCCACACATCCAAGTTTATAGCACCTGATGTTTCCAAGTGGTCACCCATCAAGGGACTGAACAGGGTGAAACTTTGTTTAAAAAAAAAAATATATATATATATATATACCTGTGTATAGTGCGCCCCCCCCCCAACGTTTTGTTTTTTTTTACATAAAAAAAAACTGATAAAATCTCTCGCTATGCTCAAGTATATATGGTAAACATTTTACCTGGTGATAGTAAAGACAAGCAATAAAAAAAAAATAAAAATGTCACTCGAAAGGCGAAAGTCACCTGTTAGACTCTCAAATTTCAATTCTTGAAAGAAATTCATTAGCTGTTCGTGTTTGCTAACACCTGGCTCTTAACCTGGATATTTTCTTTAAATATTGACATTTCTTGTCTAATACAGATATTCATAAACAGGCAGGCTTACGGCCACATCATGTTGAAACACCAGTTAAGCAACATTGAACTTGGTCAGTATCTTCATGGGTGACCACTTGGGAATATTGGGTGCTGTACGCTTGGATGTGTGGGTGGTTTTATGGATAATGGCTTGGAATTAAAGGAAAAAGAACTGTGTTCCAATTCCAGTGAGGTTTGTTATATTCACTTAACATACAAATACCTTTGGAAATAGTATGGATCCACTTCTCTCCCCAGCTATGGGTTAATTAGTAAGACCTCTATCATTAAACTATTATTATCTCAAAAAAATAAATAAATAAAATTCCTTACAATCTAAAAATATTTTCTGACTTTAAATAAAGTAAATATGTAAAGAGTTGATAAGCTGTAGAAATCAAATCAATCAATAAATCAAATACAGACAAGCTACACAGGCATTTTTTTTAGATTTATTTACATTTTCTGGAATATAGATGTATAGAAATTACCATGACCACAAAATGGTGGGGGGGGGTCAGTTTTTATATTGATTGTAATATAGAATCGTTCCCCAACTTTATATCCACATTATAATTTCATGTTTGTTTATCAAATTTTGGTTAGGTATCAATCCCACACCCAAACTATGAGTTAGTAAGACTTGTATCACTAAATCATCTTCCAAAAAGAAAAGTATTGCAATCTAAAAATATTTTCTGGCTTTAAATAACCTGAAAAGGGTTGATAAACCATAGAGAAAGGGGGGAAAAATCAGGTGGTTTCTTTGTTTTTTTATAGCCATATCCTAAAAATACTTTTTCCTTAATTTCAGCACAGACTTAAACTTTATTCTAGTCTAGCAGAAGACCACAATTTTAGGTCAGTAAAGGCAAAACACATGATTTGTTGTTTTGACCAGTCTGGTTATTTTGTTTGGTATCCTTGCAACATTTTGTCTGCTGTAACCTCTGGTCTTCATCATGTAACTTTGTACTCTGAGACTTTCTCCAAAATTTGAACTAAACCCTTTATTCAATTCATAGGGGTAGATTGTTGTTTTTATTTTGTTTTTCATATTGAGGGAATTTTTTTTTTTTTTTTAATTTTTTTTTTTACAGTAAGATTCACCATGTACAAGGCCTGGAGGCTACTTGAGGTAGAGGGTTATGTTGAGGGGTAGTTTATATGGATAGGAGGGGGAGATATAATGGTTAACTCGAGACTTGAACAGGTTAAGATTGTAGAAATATTGGTTGATAATTTTATTTTTTTTATTTATTTATTTTTTTTTTTTCAGTAAGGTTCACCCTGTACAATGCTGAGAGCCACTCGAGGTAGTGTTACGATAAGGGGTAGTTTATATGCATAAGAGTGGAAGATAATGGTTGATTCTAGACTTGAAAAGGTTAAGATTATATTGATTAGGGAAACATCCTCTTGGGAGTCTGTTCCATAGAGCAGTGGTTTGCAGCAAGAAGCTGTTTGAATAAAACTTACTTCTCACTTATGGAATACAGAGGGAATGTGGGTGATGTGCTACTATGTAAGTGGCATGGCAGATCCTAGCTGTGAAGGTCTAACGAGGCAGAACCAAGGAATGTAGTTTGTCCGAGCACTTTCCATGGTAGTAGCAATAGAGCAGTCAGAGGCTTGCCACATCCCACCTGTGAGAGAGCAGTTGGAGAGTGGGAAATAATTCTTCTCTCACAAGGACTTGGAGATGCTTTTGAATTCTATCAAGACTGGAAAGTGAGGTCTGGGCAGATTCTTCACAAATATAGCAGCAGTACTCCATTTTTGGCCTGATCTGGTTCTTTAAAGGTGATAGCAGGAGGAGTCAGGTGTCTTCTAGAATGGTACAGGCAGCCGATCATTTTACCTACGTCTTTATCGATGGACCATATATAGGAATTCTGCTTAAGGTCGGGTTTGAGGCCTAATCAGTTAATACTTCTATTTACCATGTCCTTTCAAGACATAAGTGATCATGGCCTTCCACTACTTCCTATCTTTTGTCACTGAGGTTTTGAATTCAGAGTTCTCCTTCTACTATGTGGGTTAAAAACCGCAATTGGTGACATCAGTCTGCCCTGAGAGGTTGTTATAGTAAATTTAAAATTTATTGGTAATTTTCTAACATTTCCTCAACAAGTGGCATCTTCGTAAGTAAGGTTATTAAAAGCTAAAGTATCTAAAATTCAATAAAATATTTGAATGCTTAAAATATTTTAAAAATTTTAAGATTATTGGGTAATTAAAAAAAAAAAAAAGACATTCTTCCTGTTCTATCAAATTGTTTTTCAATTATTTGCCACTTAAATTTCTCAAACATCAGGTTGTCAATAAAACACTCAACACATCAAAAAAACACCTCCTCTATCTCTAAAAAAAAAGATGCTTTTCTGAAATTTTAAACCAAAAGTAATATTTGTTTAAATTCAGATTAATTAAACTTTAAGTCAGCTAACTTTTCTCAAATTATGTTTCAGAAAAGTATATTTTATTTTTGAAAGATTTTTTAATAAAGAGAATTATGTTGTGTTGACAGATTTGTCAATATGAACAAACAGATTTTCTAGAGAAAGTTTTCGAAATGATAATAATTTTTCCATGGTCCTGACATTAAAGCCACTCTAAACTGCAACCTTGTATCACATTCAGTAGCGATATAGGCACACTGAAAAATCCATAAAGATTTTACTTTTCAGAATCAATTTAAATTGATTGTTTTTTACGGCTTCTCCTTTTGCAGGTTATTTAAATCTGGAAAACTTTTATTTTAGATTGTAAGAATTTTAGGGAGATAATGATTTAATAATACAAGTCTTACTAATTAATCCATAGCTGGGGGTGGAAGAGCTGGATTCATATCTTTCCCAAGTGTATTTGTGCATAAGTGAATATAACAAATTCAACTGGAATTGGAAATCTGCTCTCCAATTTCCAAGCTGTTATCCATTACACCACTGCACACCCAAGTTTACAACACCTGGTATTCCTAAGCTTTCTCGTATGTAGGTACTAAGTTGGATATTGCTTAACTCTGCTTATTGTGCGAGAACCTGTTTCAACATGATATGGCAGTAATACATTAAAGTATTTTGGTCATTGGATATATTATATTTAATCTATTCTTTTACTTCCTCAAAGTTTCAGAAAAGTATATTTTATTTTTGAAAATTTTTTTCAATAAAGAGAATTACGTTGCGCCGAGAGCTAAAATCAGCAATTTTTAGCAATTAAAAAATAAAATCCTTCCAGTCAATTTAAATTAGTTTTGAAATGCAGCAAATTATTTTGCTTATTGGAAATATTAAATCTAATCTATTAGCTTGGATTTAAAATTACAATGAAAGGTTTCAAGAAAGATTTTTTTCTCAATATTTACATTATTTGGACTACTGTCCTCATCTTTGTCACCATATTTATTACAACATTTCAATCGTTGTATGCTCCGACGTTCTTCGGGTGGTTGGAATGTCGAACTGAGCCCTTTATTTCGCTCACTGGGGTAGACTGTTCTAGTTACACGTGCCATGTTTAATGGATGTTAGTTATCTCCTGTTAATTCCCCTCTCCAAGTTCTCCACTGCCTTAACTGGGTATTGAACTCACACTCTTTGGGTCCTGTCACTGGATCTAACCAACGCCTTTATCCACTGTGCCATGTGTCCATGGTACGTGGAACTAGAACAGTCTACCCCAGTGAGTGAAATAAAGGCTTCAATTCAACATTCCGACCACCTGAAGAAGACCGGAGTGTACAACGGCTGAAACGTTGTAATAAATATGGCAACGATGATGTGGACAATAGTCTGAATAATGTAAATAGTGTACATAATACCTCATCTCAGAAATATAGACGGATACTGAAAAGCCGAAACGTTGTAATAAATACGTTGAGAAAGATGAGGACAATAGTCTGAATAATGTAAATAGTGTACATAATACCTCATCTTAGAAATATAGACAGATACTGAAGGGCCGAAACGTTGTAATAAATATGGCAACAAAGATGAGGACAATGGTCCGAATAATTTAAATAGTGTACATAATACCTCGTCTCAGAAATATAGACAGATACTGAAGGGCCGAAACGTTGTTGTAAATATGGCAACAAAGATGAGGTTAATAGTCCGAATAATGTAAATAGTGTATATAATACCTCATCTCAGAAATCTAGACAGATACTGAAGATTTTTTAATTTTTTAAAATGCTTTTCGTATCACTCTTTTGAGGTATCTAGGTCTATCCACGCCAGCCATTTCAATTTCAAAATGTAAAATCAGGAAGTATAATAGAAACTGAGACACAACCGCCCCCCATACCCCCCCGTTGTAAAAAAACCCAGAGAATGAGTCGTCTTGTCAGTCAGGAAACATTGACATCAACGTTCATTTCACCCTCTGATAATCAAAGTCCAGTCCAGAAAATCAAGACCCTGACTGAGGTAGTATCATACTTTCAAAAAACATTAATATTTTGTATAATGTTCAATCAATAATGCCAATCAATAATGTTCAATCAATATTCCAATTTTATTGTTGCAGTCATTCTTTTCTTGATCTTGTTTGAAAATTTTTTTGTTTGCACTCGTCTTTTTTCAGTCTTTACACAAATAGATCTTCATTGTCATAACAAAGAAATGTCATTATCTATGGTTTATTAAATAAACAAGTACTACTTGAAACCGTTGAGGTGTTGTTTCTGACACCTGTCACTCTTCAACAGACCGACCTTTTTCGTCTTTTTTTAATTATCTGTCATAGAAGCAAACAAACAAAAAGAGTAATTCTGGCCATCTGTTTGTTAATTCTTTTGCAAAAGAATCATTGACCAAAGTTGGAAAAATTTCTAGTGTTCCAAGAATTTTTTTCTTAATGTCATGTACTTACAGAGTATAGATGATTATAGTCTTCCAGATTTCTTTTATCTGCAAATTGTCATGATTATAGGAATAATAGTGGAGTAATTTCCCATTGCTTTCCTTCTGGTTTTGAACTCGGATTTGTCCTTCTCAGACTACCACCCAAGGCTAGTGAGTTTAGTTTACCCTTCTATTTAACTCCTTCTAAAATGCCATAACCATTCAAGCTGTACACAATCATGGCTCTCTATGGGGATTCCTGTGAGTTGCTATGACTTCCTGGGAAATATAGTGGAGTGGTTTCCTGTTGCTGCCTTTATGGTTTCGTTTTCAGGCGTTGTCCTTGTCCTAGATTAACGTCTGAGGTATAATAATTAACTACATCCAACAACAAGGCCTCTGATTGGGAAGCTTTGAGGAGCATGGAACCACCTCTTAATTGCTGTTGTTCCCAGGTCCACACTGACTCGGAGCAGTAGCACTTGTTAAGGACCCGGCTATGGACAAATAATGACCCTCTGAAACACAAATCAACAATATATTTTTATAGCAACATAACCATCAATACATTTTTATACTGTTCCAGCAAGTAACTCACTCCTCATGCTATCCTTTACCTTCTTATGAGAGTAGTCCTAGGTATGACGATAAACTACATCCTGCAGCAAGGCCTCTGATCGAGAAATTGAAGATTTTGAGGAGCATGCAACCACCTCTTAATTGCTGTTGCCATGTCTTGCGGAACGATAGGGAAGTTGTTTCCCATTGCTTTCGCTACAGTTTGAATTTAGTTTTCCTTTCGCTGCACTGTCTGCCACCCAAGGCTGGGTATGACAATTGTGATGCCATTCATGATTGTCTGTTGTTGACGGCACCTGTGATGACATCCAAGGTTGATTGTAGTTGCATATACACCCAACTCACTATGTGTACAGGTTTGTCTTGTTGGCTGTGATCACTTTCAACTAATAATAATACTTTTACTCTGAAATGTTTTTAAAGACACAGATTGGGAGTTCACAACAATGATTTCTCACTTAGCTGGCTATCTTTTCATTTGGCTAAAGCCTCATGGGTGGTGAAAATCTTCACAGGACTACTTTTATGACTATCTAAAATCATTGATAAAATTTTTGTTTCCCAATTGTTATATAGGAATAAAGTGTTGCTGTTGACACTGTAGTTTGAACATAGATCACCAGGCAGTCCCATGTTGAATTAAGTAGAACATGTGATCACAAAGGAAATATATATATATATATATATATATATATATATATATGGGAATTAGCATGACATCTAAACGATCACCATTTCTATTCTATCCTCTATTACTATACAGATCACTCTTTCTACACTATCCTCTATCTCTGTACTATTTACTATACTATTTCTCTATACTGATCACTATACAGATTACTATTCAAGTGAGTATTATTACGCAAGTACTATTAGTGCAAGTATTATTCAAAGGCGTTTGACACCAGTATTGTTCAACAGCATTACTACAGTTGTATCTGTGTTTACAAGGTCTCTACTTCCTTGAGCATTGCGAAAGTGACAAGGAGTATTCCTTGACTTTACAAAAGTAGCAACGAGTGTTTGCTGGCATCACAAAACCAATTCAGAAACAAACTTGAGATATGAATCCTGAAAACACAGACACTTAAGGTTAAAGATGGATTGAAGACAAAATTCCTATAGAACTCAGATAGCTGAGTGAACTTAAAAGGAAGGAATTTACCTCCTTATCTTTTAAAGATATGTGAGAAACCATGCTGTTACACATTAAACTACATCTGACAGCAAGGCCTTTGAATAAGAGATTATAGGTCTTGAGGAATATGGAACCACCTCTTAATTGCTATTGTTCCCAGGTCCACCCTGACCTGAGGTAGTAGCTCCTGTTAGGGTTCAAGCTATGGGTAAATAGTGAAACCCCAAACAAAAGTCAACAGTACATTTTTATAGTAAAATTACCAATTTTAAAAAAAATTTAAATTACCCACAATACATTTTATGATCTATAAACTATATATCTAAAATAACATACCTTTACCCTGATAGTATAAAATTATGTACAAAATATGTGGTTGAAAGCATAAAATTGCATACAAAATATTTATTTTGGCATTAAATAATCCATAGAAGTTCATGTGCTGCTAAACAAAATCAACCAAGGCTGGACAACCCAATCTGCTATGTTATTTTAGCTATAGATTTACTAAGAATAGCTTAGATGTGGCACAAGGCTGAAAGTATGGAGCACCCAGTGAGGATCAAATTCACTGCGCAGTCATAATTGATCTAGCAAGATGATGCTATTTAAGCTATAGCTCGGGAGAGAAGAAATGGTGAAAGCAGAATAACGTATATCATATTTTTGTTACTTCAAAACACCCAAGAAAATTAAATTTCAGTATTAAATGACCCATAAGGAGTTGATATGCCATTAAACAATCAAATCAAAGCTCACAAGAAAATTTAATTTTGGCATTAAATGATCTATAAAGAGTTGATATGCCATTAAACAATCAAATCGAAGCATCCAAGAAAATTAAATTTGGCCATTAAATGACCCATAAGGAGTTGATATGCCATTAAACAAACAAATCAAAGCAAATCAACTACCTGATAATGTGGATAAAAAAGTCACCTCTTGACTCTGTTCCAGAAAAATGCACAAGTTTTTATATTTTAATTATTTTGCTGCAAATTTCTACTGAAGCATGTGGAATTACACATTGATTTTCTTTCTTTCAGGTTCTACGACATGAAGAATTTACTGAGGGTTGCAAAGCCGCCTGCAATGGGTTTGTATATTATTTGCTACCCTCTAGAGTAGGATGTAGGATCTAGTAGGCAATAAACTACTAAGATGAAGGACCAGAATACAAGAAAAGTGGGTTTTTAAACCACTTTGCCAAACACTCATTAGGTGGTGCTGTTTAAGTCTATAAAAGAATAAACATTTCCTTCCTCTTTCTCTTTCTTCCAAAATGTAGCAGGATGTAGATAAACATGTACTTGCTGGGACATGTTCGTTTCCCCAGTCCACTGATGACCAAACTCTCACACACATACACATGTGTGTATTACACACATAAACAAGCACAACTTAACAATGGAGGGGGGGGATATAAATGGGAGAATAAATCTTTCTTCTCTAGCTCTCTCCTGTTATATGTTGAAAAAGGGTTATCACCCTGTTATAACTATATACCCTTACAACAATCTTATTCAATAATCATCTACCTTGAGTGGCTCTTGGATCTTGTCTTAGGTGAACAACAGTACAAAAAGAAAAACAAAATATAAAAATAAAATAGACAAAAAAATAGTAAATTTACAATTATTAATAGATATAATAATATGTCAGATTACAGCTGAATCGTGGAGGGGAATATATAAGCACAACTGCCAGTTTCACAAATATAAAATAGCGTTTCATTGTTTATTTTGTTTCTTTTTCAGGCCGTATGATGGTAAATGGAGTAAAACAATGATTGGTTATGGCAGTGAAGATGACCATTTTGTTATGGAACTGACGTACAATTATAACATTGGTTCATACAAGCTGGGCAATGATTTTGGGGTAAGCCAGCAAGGGGATTTTTTTCCAACCCTCTTCTTGCCGTGTGCATATAGATGACCATAAGAGAAACAATTTTAATAATTTTCTCATTGTTATATAAATGATGATCAATAATAATTATTAAGCAAAACAGGTGTGGTATGAGTGAATGCCCCCCCTTCCTCCTAGTTCACTCCAAGTGGTGCAACTCAGGTATGACAATAAACTACATCCATGTCCTACATCACCTTTTGACACTGTTCCAGGAAAATGCACAAGTTTTTATATTTTAATTATTATTATAAACTGTTTTTATATTTTAATTATATATATATATATATATATATATTATTTATATTATATATCATCCAGTGTAACCCGGATATAAGATAGTTGTCGGGACCGGAGAAGAAGTCTCTTATATCCGGGTTTGGTCTATTTTGTTTAGGTAAGTATGGCTCTAATTTGGGACCAGAGAAAATCTCTCTTATATCCGGGTTTCTCTTATAACCGGGTCTCTTATATCCGGGTTACACTGTATTATTATTATTATAAACTACGTCCAGCAGCAAGGCCTCTGATCAGGAGGTTTTGAGGAGCGTGGAACCACCTCTTAATTGCTGATGTTCCCAGGTCCACTTGGATCTGGGGTGGTAACACCTATCAGAGTCCCAGCTATGGGCAAGTAGTTAACCCACAAACTGGGGTCAAAACATCTAAAAATAGGTTTTAATAGCAGCAATACATTTTTGAAGAAAAAATTATTACCAACAATGCTTTTTTGGAAAAAATATTACCAGCAATAAAAATCTTGTCAGCATTAAATAACCCATTGAGGTTGCTGTGCCGTAAAACAAACGAAACCAAACTTGAAGTGGTCCTTAATAGTGCTGACTACCAAATAGGCTGTCCTCTGATGAATTAACCATTTTGCTGAAACTGACTGACTAGTACTATCGATGCATTTGCATAGCAGTGACTTAGTTGACTAATTTACATACCTTAGTTAGGTGGAATGACTATAAAACCTTTCCCAATTTAATTTACCAATCGTGATGAACAGATGTTCCCTCATGACTTGAACGGCTATTGAGAACTCGACCCAGACCTTATGGGACTTGTATATACAATCCATTGCTAAAGATACTGAGAAAATGACTGGTTCCCTGTACCACTCCAGCAATTACTCACTCCTCATGCTATCCTCTACCTTTTTATGAGAGTAGTCCTGGGTATAACGATAAACTGCATCTGGCAGCAAGGCCTCTGATCGGGGAGACGGGGGGGAGGAATTGGAAGTTTTAAGTAATGTGGAATCACCTCTTAATTGTTGTTGTTCCCAGCTTCATCCTGAACCAGAGTGGTAGCACCTGTTATGGTCCAAGCTAAGGGTACATAGTTACCCCCTCCCCTGAACTGGAGTCCAAATACTACGAAAGTGTAAAAAATGGGTTTTATAGTAAAAATACCAACAATACAAACTGCAATATAGAAAATGCACATTCACAAAAAACGATTTCCGAAAGGGTCCCATCTATGTGTAAATAGTGAACTCCTCCCAAACAAGAACAAAACCCTATGATAGTATAAAAATACATATTTATAGCAAAATGACCAACAATAGATTTTATCTGTAGTTGAAGGTATGCAAATGCATTCAAAATATTTAGATTTCAGCATTAAATGACCTGTAGAGGTTGATATGCAACAAAACAAAATCAGCCAATCCCAGATCAGGTCAAAATGGAGTACTGCTGCCATATATGGGAAAGAGCTGCCCAGTCTTCATTTTCCAGTGTTGATATTCCAGAAGCATCTCCGCTATCCTCTGCCTTTACAAGAGCCAAATCAGGCCCAAAATGGAGTACTATTGCCATATATGGGAAAGAGCAGCCCAGTCTTCATTTTCCAGCCTTGATAGAGTCCAGAAGCATCTCCGCTATCCTCTGCCTTTACAAGAGCTAAATCAGGCCAAAAATGGAATACTATTGCCATATATGGGAAAGAGCTGCCCAGTCTTCACTTTCCAGTCTTGATAGAGTCCAGAAGCCCCTCCGCTATCCTCTGCCTTTACAAGAGCTAGATCATACTGAAAATAGACACATATGGGCTGGAGCTGCCCGGTTTTCATTTTCCAGTTTCAATAGAGCCCAAAAGGCTCTCTACATTCTCGTAGGTGACAAATTATTTTCTACTCTGCACACCCCCCTTTCTCACAGATGAGATGTCACAAATCTCTCACTGCTCTATTACTATTTCCACAGAGAGTATTCAGATGAGTTACTCTCCTTAGTTCCACGAGTCCTAACCTTCATGGCTAAGACCCACTATTGCATCCATGCACATTGTAGCCAACCACCTTCGTTCCTTTTATATCTTCCTGGTGAAATGTAAGTTCAATTTAACCAGCTACTTCTTACAAACCACTGCCTTGTGGAACCGACTCTTAAGAGGCTACTTCCCCAATCACTACAGTCCTAACTTGGGTTAACCATTATCTTCTGCACATATCTGCATAAGCTGTACCTCTTACTTTGTGACCCTATCCCTCAAGGCCTTGTACAAAAAAATCCCCAAAGTGTACTGAACTGTAAATGTAGGTTGTGCCTGATCTTGTGCATGCAGAAGGCAGGAGATTTTGTGAATAGGGTGTGACAAAGTTTTGTCAGTTTGAAGAAGGTTGCCAGTGAGGACAATTGCAAAAACAGCAACTGGCTGTTTTCTGATTAAAATCTTAATCTTTTGTTTCTTGCAGGGCCTTACCATATTCTCCAGCACCATAAGGGATGAGGTGATCAAGAGGGGTTACCCATTCCAAGAAGAATCGGACGGCTTTGTCTTGAAATCTCCAGATGGCTACAAGTTTATGGTAATTGAAGATAAAAGTGAAAGAGGTAAGAGATTTTGTAATTTATGAGGAACTATGCCCTTGTCAAAACATTTCTCTCTCTCTCTCTCAAATTCATGTGCTCTTTGTCTCTCACATTCACACTCTCTCTGAAATTGATACTCTCTTTCTCTCTTCCCCCTAACACACTCTCTTTCTCTCTTCCCCCTAACACACTCTCTTTCTCTCTTCCCCCTAACACACTCTCTTTCTCTCTTCCCCCTAACACACTCTCTTTCTCTCTTCCCCAACACACTCTCTTCTCTTCCCCTAACACACCTATTTTCTCTCTTCCCCCACACACACACACACACACACACACACATGCACTCTCTCTCTCTCTCTCATTTCCCCTCACACACACACACACACTCTCTCTCTCTCTCTTCCTATCTCACTGTCCTGGGTATGATGATAAACTGCATCCAGCAGCAAGGCCTTTGATCAAGAGGTTTTGAGGAGTGTGGAACCACTTCTTAATTGCTAGTGTTCCCAGGTCCACCCTGACCCAGGGTGGTAGCACCTGTCAGCTCAATGTTAATTTTTATTTGGAGGGGTTCAATATTTGCCCATACCTTGGACCCTAACATGTGCTACCACCCCCTGGTCAAGGTGGACCTGGGAACAACAACGGTTGATAGGTGATTCCCTGCTCCTGAAAACAACAAATCTCTCAATCAGAGGCCTTGTTGATGGATATCATCATACACAGAATGATCACTTGTGCCAGTCTTAATTAAACTGAGATTGTGCCTCTGACAGGACTCAAAGGCATAATGTTTATTTGGCAGAATTTCTCAGTCTACACTGACTCTTATTAATTTGACTGTTTAACATAAAAAACAGGGGTATCAACTTAATTATTTTTTTGTTAATGGCATATCGACTCATTACAGGTCATTTATGCCAAAATTTAATTTTCTTGGGAGCTTTGAAGTAATAAAAATATGATATACGTTATTCTGCTTTCACAGTTGAATACATGGTAAATGATACTCAGCTTTTGTACATATACATGTTGGTTGGTTGAGTGATTTTGTTTAGCTGCATATCAATCTCTATGGGTGATTTAATATCGAAATTTAAATATGTTGTATATAATTTTATATTTTCTGGGTAGTGTGTGGATTATAAAATGTATTACTCATAATGTCAAAGCGGTCTGCCAATGTGGACAAGAGCAATTAAGTGGTGGTTCCATGCTCCTGAAAACCTCCAATCTCTCGATCAGAGGCCTTGCTTCCAGATGTAGTTTTATCGTCACACACAGAACGATCACATTAGGGAACTTGTTCCAGTTTCAATTAAACTGGGTAAAGATTGTGCCTTCGACAGGACTCAAAGGCAAAATCTTTATTCGGCAGAATTTCTTGATCTAGACCGGCTCTTACTAATTTGACTGTTTTAACAAAAAAAAAAAAAAGGATAACAATTAAATTATTTTTTTGGTAATGGCATATTGACTCATTATGGGTCATTTATGCCAAAATTTAATTTTCTTGGGAGCGTTGAAGTAATAAAAATGTTATTCTGCTTTCACAATTGAATACATGGTAGATAATACTCAGCTTTTGTGCATATATATGTTTATTGGTTGAGTAATTAATGGGTGATTTAATATCAAAATGTAAATATTGTTCTACATAATTTTATACTTTCTGAATAGTTTGTAGATTATAAAATGTTTTGCTTGTACTTTTATACTTGTCGTTTTGTTATGAAAATGACCTTTTAATTTTTATTTGGAGAGGTTCACTATTTACCCATAGCTGGGACCCTAACAAATGTTATCACGCCAGGAACAACAACAGTTATACTCCTCAGAATCTCCAATCTCCCAATCAGAATCCTTGCTGCTGGATGTAGTTTATCGTCATGCCCAGGATGATACTTTCATATAAAATCAGTTTGTGACACTTGATTGCTAATGGCTTTTGAGATATGCCATTTTAATTACTCTAACATCACATATTCAGGTTTTTTGACAATTTGGACAGAACTTTACGGATTTTAACAATTGAGATCTCTTTAGGGTTGATAGTTAATATTTGCAACTTGGATTCTCAACAAACCAACGTACGACGAGAGCTGCATATAAATCTGAAGTTATATTTATTGCAACTTTTTAGATTTCTGTGCAATAACAACAATATGAATAGCCAAAAATTAATAAAAATACTTTGTCTCAGTTGAAATAATTAAAATTTATTAAAATAAAATTAATTAAAGTTTATTACAAGGAAGTAAGACTAAGCAACGCAGCATGATTTTTATTTTTTTCATTTTACCACCACCATTCATAATGTCTTTCCAGGTCAAGAGTTAGAAGTAGAAAAGTAGCAATTGTCTCGTTTAGGCAAAGAATTCTGTGACCAAACTGATTAAAATATTATCGATGAAAGACAAGTTCAGAATATATGAAATGTGTTTACAAGTCACAGTTTTTTTTTTTTTTTTTTTTTTTTTTTTTTATATGATCTGTTTACAGTAATGGTGGAAGGCATTCTCAGTCAGAATGCATTAGACCCAGAAATGGGACATAAAGGTCGGTCAAAAGACATTTGACCTGGAAATGGGATTTAACATTCAGTCAGAAGATATTCAACCCTAGAAATTGGGCTTAATATTCAGTCAGAATGCATTAGAGCTGGAAATGAGAATTAACAGTCGTTCAGAAGACATTTAACCTGGGAATGGTATTTTTCAATCTGGAAACAGAATTACAGGTTAGTTGGAAGGCATTTAACTCAGAAATTAGGCTTAGCATTCAATCAGAAGGCATTTGACCTGTAAATTGGGTTTAATATTTGGTTGGAAGGCATTCAATCTGGAAATGGGGTTTAATGGTCAGTGTTAATGAAAAGGAACAATAAAATAAAGAAATCAAGATTTGTTTTCTCTTTTCTTTATCTTTCTTCTCTTTTCTTTCACTTCTCTTTTTCTTCTCTTTTCTTTCACTTCTCTTTTTCTTCTCTTTTCTTTCACTTTTTTTTTCTTCTCATTTCTTTTTTCTTTTCTTCTCTTTCTTTCACTTCTCTTTTCTTTCTTTCTTTCCACTTCTCTTTTCTTCTCAAACAAACTTCTCTTTTTTTCTTTCTTTACTTCTCTTTTCTTTCTTTTAATTTTTTCTTTCTTCTCTTTTTCTTATATTTCTTTCCTTCTCTTTTTCTTCTCTTTCTTTCTTTTTTTCTTTCTTTTCTTCTCTTTTCTTTTTTCTTTCACTTCTCTTTTTCTTCTCTTTCTTTCACTTCTCTTTTTCTTCTCTTTCTTTCACTTCTCTTTTTCTTCTCTTTCTTTCACTTCTCTTTTTCTTCTCTTTCTTTCACTTCTCTTTTTCTTCTCTTTCTTTCACTTCTCTTTTTCTTCTCTTTCTTTTTAATTTTTCTCTAATTTTTTCTTTTTCTTTCTTTCTTTCTTAGATTTTCTAAGAATTTTCATTTCTCTTCTCTTTTCTTCTCTTTCTTTCTCTTCTCTTTTCTATTTCTCTTTTTTTATTTTCTCTTCTCTTTTCTTCTTTTTTTTTCTCTTTTTCTTCTTTTCTTCTCTTTTTTTCATCTTTCATTTCTCTTTTTTCTTTTAAACTCTTCTCTTTTCTTCTCTTCTCTTTTCTTTCTTTTTCTTCTCTTTTAATTTCTCTTCTTTTTTCTTCTCTTTTTTTTCTTTCTCTTTTTCTTTTTTCATTTCTCTTTCATTTCTCTTCTCTTTTCATTTCTCTTAGGATTTTTCTTTCTTTAGATTTCTCTTCTTTTTCTTCTCTTTTCATTTCTTTTTTTTTTCTTCTCTTTTCATTTTCTTTTCTTTTCTTCTTTTTCATTTTTTCTTTTTTCTTCTTTTTCTCTTTCTCTTTTCTTTCTCTTTTTTTCTTTTTTTTTTTAAAATCTTTTTCTTTCTTTTTTTTCTCTTTTTCTTTTCTTTCTCTTTTTCAAAATTCTTCTTTTTGTTTTTCTTTCTCTTTTTTGATTTAAAATTTTCTTTTTCTCTTTTTTCCTTTTCTCTTTTCTTTCTTTTCTTTCTTTTTCTTTCTCTTTTCTTTCTTTCTCTTATTTTTCATCTTTTTCTTTCTTTTCTTTTCTTTTTTTTTTTTTTTTTCTTCTCTTTTTCTCTTCTAAGTCCTGCTTTGCAAGCTGATTAATATCAGATTTTTACATGTTTGAATCTTTTAGCCAAAGATTGTCTTGAACAGTCTTTGAGAAATATTCCTGGGGAAATGTCAGCAAATTGAGAAAAGAAAATTTTTTATATTTTTTTGTCCAAAAAATATAGTCACTGATGGAATTTATGAAAAGTCTTGAAATTGGATAAAAGAAATAGATCCCAACAAGAACCCAGATTCTATATTCTTTTATTATAATTTTTAAATTTTTTTTATTTATTTATTATTTTTTTTTAAGACCCAGTCAAGAGAGTTGCACTCAATGTGTCAAATATGAAACGTTCAACTGGTAAGTGACATTAATTTTACACTAAATTTTCTTGTTCTTCTTGTATTTGCCATGTCCCTCCAATATATATCAATGATGGCTCTCCACAATTTCCTGTCTTTTATAGATGTTGCCTTTTTGATATCTCTCCTAAACCTTGTTCCACCATCCATTTATTCAAGCTTGCCAAGTAGGTTAAGCATTGTTTTCCTTTATTCCTTTTGCCTTCAATTTGTCCTGTGAGTGTCGGATTTTTCAATCCTTCTTTCCTTATGTGCCCTAGAAAGTTCAACCATCACTTCCTTTGTGTTCTTTTTGCTTCCATTTTCTCTAAAACTTAGTTGTTCACAGAAAATCAGACATTGGTGCACAACCAAGACACTTTCATTTTTTTCTTCTGTCTGCCTCTTATTTTTTTGTCTAAAATGGTACCTTATAGCAGGGTTGGTGCAAGGGTTTCAAGCCACCCTCCCACACTGAATCTAATATGTGCACCCCCCCATCACTACCACTCTTCTATATCTCAAATTTTCATAAGGTAGTATTCATATAAAATACACATTTTATTCTAACCTAATTATGATGGATCTTATGCAATATAGCTGAACAGTTCAATTAGAAAATTTGAAAATAAATACAATGTATCTAAACACAAATTAGAGACATGTCATAATAGATCACTCCATCTTAAATAAATCAATGTTTTGCAGCAATTTTTAACATCAACTTCAAACTTGTTAAAAAGTTGAATAATTTTAGCACATTCAACATCATGGATAAAAAATAATGAATTTTATATAGTGTTTTCTCCTAGACTTAGTATGAACAAAGTAAATTCACAAATTTGGATGAAAGAAAAAAAAAACAAAGCAAAACAGAATGACGTCAAAATTCATGCAAATTTTTCATCCCTTAAGAGTCAGTCGTACTTAGTTTAATTTCTAACATATTAATGTAGGTAGAAAAAAAAGCAATTGTTGATAAGATAGCAAGGGTCACAAAGCACTCTCCCAGGGCCTCCAATTGGGCTTGGGCTCCTCTACTCCAGTCAGCGGTGTTCGTGTGTAGTACACATCATCCCAGCCTTATAGGCTGATAGTAAAAAGATATTGGTTCTTATGACATGGAACATATATTTTCAAGTTTCTTTTCTTGATGGTAATATCAGATCTTCTTGTCTGATGTTACCTGGCACTGCCAGATACCATCAGAAAACAATTACAGAAGCAAAAACCTGAAAAGGAGTCAAAAATAGAAATAAAATTGATGAGCCATTTTGTTAGCAGATATAAAACAGATGAATTTATTAGGGGTCCAAAGTACCTTTTTTTTCTTCTTTTTTTTTTTCTTCAACCCTAAATTCCAGCTGGTCATTTAGATAGGTTCACCTATCATCTGGTTTAAACTCCTCCTCTGTCTTTTGAACAGGAACTGAAGGTTTATCCCTTGTTCCCTGTTTAGGATTGGATTTCTGGTTCCTTCTGAAGTCTTTTTCATTCTCCTTTACTCTCAGTAGCCCCTCGCATCTTAGTGGCATTATCGTCTTGCTTGGGGTGAATTGATTAAAAAATATATATATATATATAAAATAATTTTTTATTCTTTGTTCCCTGTTTAGGATTGGATTTCCAGTTCCTTCTAAAGTCTTTTTTATTCTCTTTCACACCTAGTAGCACCTTGTATCTTAGTGGCATTATCGTCTTGCTTGGGGTGAACTGATTAAAAAATATATGTCAAAGTATTCTATCCTTTTGGATCCTTTCTGATTAAGCTACCATTTTGTCTGTTCTAAATTTTTCTGTATTTACCATTTTTGCATTTTTTGTAGAATTCTGGAATCATATTGCTGGCCTTAGCATTCACAGTCAGTCTGAGAAAAAAACGGAACTCTCTGCAGGTAACAGTCATGTGAGTATTGCAAGTTGATCTATTAAGTAGTTTTCAGATTGATTCATTACACTCTGTCAATACCTCATAAATAATGGACTATTCCATTTTGATCGCATGGGGAGAGGGGAAAAGACACTACCTGGTTTCAGTGAGAAAATGAAAGAAAGAAAGAACATGAGAGAGAAGTGTTTAACAGCTTTTTCAGTGAAATGCTAAAAGTTGTTGATTTTTAATCTTTCATTTGTAACCAATGTTGACCATGTTTGCCGTAGTCTCTGAATACGGAATCCAGTGAAGTCCGTAATGTTTTCAATATCAGAGGTTGGCAGTGAAGATTCGGAGAAAGTAGCGGCTGTTAATTCTTTAAGTCTTTGATATCAGGTTGGCAGTGAAGATATTTTGGGCGAAAAACAAAATGGTTACCTTTATACACGTCAGATTGAATATTTTGAGTTTTCTGATTGGTTAACCCTTCTATTGATGAACTATAAAATGAGTCAGCTCATTTTGACTGGCTTACTAGTACAGGCTACCCAAAAATTCTAACAACCAATTCTTAAAATAACGACCAGCATTCATATTTTTAATTGTTATTGCAATATTTTGTTAAAGTTGTTAAGCTCAAATATTTAACAATGCAATAGGGGAATTTCTACAGATATTTTATTGTCATAGAGCTCGGCATGAGCATATTCAATTATTAACTTAAGAATTTAGATTCATTACAATATTCAAATAGGAAAACCGTGAAATTTTCACGGGTGTTCCTAATATATGATTATTGTAGTCCGAGAGCAGAAGATTAAAACTTGAACCTACCCGGTTTTCTCTTCAGCTTGGCCTCAGTGGGAATGTAACAAATACTCGTCTTAGCTTCTATCAATGTATGCTATGCCAACTGCTAGCATTTTGTACTCAATCTATCTTCCTTCTCCACTGCTTTCTGTCAACAACCTATCTGCATGAATCTCTTGATAGAAAAAGAAGCTGTCTTCCTCTTGACTCTTTTTTTGTATCCACCACCCTTACCCACAATTTTTATATCTACTACCCTTACCCACAATTCCCCACTGTTGCTGGTTGTGGTCTGCACCTCAGTTTCTAAGTTCCTAATCATTAATTTTTTTGTTTAATTACAAATATAAATAATTATGATTACAAATATAAATAATATAAAAAGAAAATACCTGTTTGACATGATCGTCTTTTGATGACCCTTGAATGCTATCTGTTTATTAACATCTCTTCTTCAGATTACTGTATTTTCCAGCTTACATGACAATGCAGCTTGGAAGATGCATCCTTATATTGGAAAGAAATTTCTCAGTGGGGGGGAAAAAAAAGTCATTTTCATACAACAAAACATTCACCATGCATCCCTCACATACTAGCGCCACATATTGTTTACATTAATCACTCATCTGATTTTGTTTCTATGGCAATGACGTACTAGTCAAGAGCAGACAGGCTCCTGCTGCTGCAAGTAAACAGAGTATGTTTAAGCTTGTGGCTCGGCTCCAGGAAGGTCTTGGAAATATTTGTAACAGCTAAGTACTGAGGTTACATCATATAAAAAGCTGAATTAGATAGCTAACATTATAGTGTAATGACTCGATATACAAATCCATGTTCCTATGAGTCAAGCCAATTAGGTAACCGTCCAAGTTTACCTGAGCCTGGGTGTTGCTTTACATTTGTCTTGGAAGACACACATGTATTTTTCAGGAAAAAAGTGCATGTTGTAAGCCAGAAAATACAGTACCCTTTTATTTCAAGCATCTACATCATTTCCTTATGAGTAAGAACTTTTCCAACAACCCCTAGAATGAAATATATATGATTAAATTATAATAAAAAATCATAATGTTAAAATATAAGAAGATAACTCCTGTTTGACACACTCAATCTCTTCTGACCCTAAATTGAAATATATATAATTTTTAAATGGCGAATTTCAAGTTTTTCTTCAGGATGTAGGCTATCATGGCTCTCCACAATTTCCTGTCCTTCATAGCTCTTAATAAATTTTGTCTTTTTATCTCTTCTAAACTTTGTTCTGCTATCCACTTACTCATACTCACAAAGTATATTATGCATCGTTTTCTTTTATACCCCTTGCCTTTGTTCCGTCATGTGAGTATTGGATTTTCCAAGCCTTCTTTCCTCACTATCTGCCCTAAAAATTTCAACTGTCTTCCTAATGTTAAGAATAAGTTTCCTTTTTGTTCCATTTTTTTAAAAACCTCATCATTGCTCACAGGTAGATCCATGGTATCCTCAGCATCCTATTGTAGAACCACATTTCTGCTGCTTCAAGCTTCTTCATCTTTGAGGATATTGTCCAGCATTCACTGTCATATAGGAGGACTGATATCTCATAACATTTCAGTACTCTTTTTCTCTTTCTTAATACTCTGCTTAGCTTTTGGAAGGCATCTTTGTCTATTCCAATGAACCTTTTGATCTAGATTACAAGTAAAAATAATGTTAACATATAAAAAGGAAAGTCCTGTTTGATACTTTTGTTCTTTGATGACCCCCCCACCCTCCCTGGAATTAAATATTTATATTATAAACAAATTTCATTTGATTCCAGTATGCTGCTTTAACAAGAGCCTGATAATCAAACAGTTATTAATGTGTAACCAAAATTGAGTCTGTGTTTTTAATGAGACAGATTTTCCTGTCTTTTTGTGATTTTTTTTTCTCCTGTTGTGTTGCTAGCCACCTTCTACATCCACACCAAGGGGAGAGAACTAGTCATCAATTCTCTAACAATGCATAACAAGCAGTTTATTATATAAATATAAGGCAAATAATTTATCATAGAAATGTCATTCAGATAATTTTATAATGAGATTATAAGTATATTGTATTTATTTCAATTAGCAACACCAAGAATAAGGGCAGATAACTCTTTACTTTATCTGGAATAAATAATTTTTTTCGTCATTATTTACACTATTTCAGTAGTTTCCAATTTTTTGGACCATGCCCCACCTAAGCACCTCTAAAATCCTGATGCCTCTTTTCCCCTTGTGACATATACAATCAACAAATATCACCTGAAGAAGGCTGGAGTGTACAACAGTTGAAATGTTGTGGATGTGACAAGATGAGGACAACGGTCCAAACAATGTAAAGAGTGTAAATAATGGCCTCCATTCATTTTTGTAGAAATCTAAAATAATGAGAAAAACCACTTATCATAAAATATCTGATACAGAGATTTAAATACTGTATTTTTGTTTTTGTTCAGGCCGGAAAATGCATGATTTTTAACCTCTTTCAAAAAACTACCTATGTGTAGTGTTATATTAAGCATATGGTGGTAGAACAAAGAAGAAACGATGGAGGTTTAAGAAATAAACGATTGTATTAACATAAAAAATACAACAAATGGTAAATTGGTGTAAATGTCTTGTGTTGAAAGAAAGAGATAAGCAGAATTGTAAGTCATCTGCAGAGGCGTACAGTAGGAGGGGAAGGTGAGTTGTGACTTACTGCAGCAACGGTCTTTGGCGAGTTGTCTTTTGGAAATGGGAAAGTTGCTTTCCAACAAAATCTGTGAAACTGGGCCCAAATGCCGAAAATGTCCCTTTGATAGGCTTTTATGTCTTTTCTTAGGCTCAAATTAGCCCAGGTTTTTATTTTGTTTCTTTAGGCAGGAGTGGGTGGAAATTCTGGGTTTTATTGCTTATTTTTTCTTTGAGTGTGTGAGTAAATGAAGCAGTCCACCCTGGCATAAACCTAATAGAAAACATTTTCAAAATATTGTTATTCCATATGAAAAAATATGTATTTCTATCAAACATTAAGATTGTTCTAATAACAACACTTAAGGATGCAGATAAGGATAGATTTTGTTTGATTTTGTTATATTAAGTCTATGGTGGCAGAACAAAGAAAAATTGGCGGAGGTTCAAGAAATAAACAATTGTATTAACGTAAAAATACAACAAATGGTAAATTGGTGTAAATGTCTCCTATTGAAAGAAAGTGATAAGTAGAATCGTAAAAGTCATCCATAGAAGCATACAGTAGGAGGAGAGGGTGAGTTGTGACTTACTGCAGTGATGGCCTTTGGCAAGATGTCTTTGGAGATGGGAGGTCATATTCCAACAAGTGTTGTAAATCCTGTCTCCAATTTTTATTTAGCTTCTTTAGGCAGGAGTGGGTGCTATTGGGTGGAAATTCTGGATTGTTTTTTTCTTTGGGTTTGTAAGTAAAATGGAAGCTATGTGCAGAGCCAATGCGCAGTTGATGGAATTTTTAGTTCAGTCTTGGGTTTCAGAGAGTTCACATCCGGCCAGTGGTGGAAATTTGTGTAACATGGATCAGAAGATCTAGTTTTAGGAAGATTATAACAGTGCGACCCCCTGTTTTTTTGCATAAAACACTGATCATAAAACTCACACTATACTAAAGTGTATGTAATCAAATAAATACATCTATAATTTTAGATGTTGGAAAAGAACTATTGTCATTTTATTGTTCCTATTTTCTCTCTAGTGTAACTTGGAAATCCTGGAGATTTCAGATCCAATCGACCGAGCAAGTGGATATGGAAGAATTGCTTTTGCTGTTCCCCGAGAAGATGTAAGTATTCTGACTTCACTAAGAGGTAAATACGAATTCACAAATCACAAATTTTTTGTCTTTTGAACAGGAGTATAGGTTTATCCCTTGTTTATGATTTGGTTTCTAGTTTCTTTTAAAGTCTTCTTGTTCTGTTTCACTCCTTGTAACCCCTTGCGTCTTTGTTGTATTATATCACTTATATATTTCTTGGGATAAATTTGATTTAAAAAAAAAAAAAAAATTTAACCATGAAAAAATGGATAGAATTTATTAAATTAATCTTTCAATTGTTCCACTGATTAAACATATACAGTAACACATTAAATTCTGGAGGGAATTTTTTTTTAAAATACTTTTGTTCACCCAATACAAGGCCCAAGAGCCACTCAAAGATGCTTGTTGTAATATAAAAGCAAGTAAGGGCGTATTATATGGTTATGTAAGATCAATAATGGTTGACCCAATATTTGAAGATGTTAAGATTGCAAAAATTGGAAGTATTCTCTCAGGAGTCTGTTCCACAAAGTAACAGTTCTGGGGAAGAAACTGTCTGAGTGGAACTTCCTCTTTACCAATGGAATACGAATGGAATGAGGATGGCTTGTCACTGAACATGGCATGGTAGGTGCTAGCTGTGAAGGTCTGAACTGGTGGGGTTTAAGGAATGTAACTCTTCTAACTACCTGCCATGAAAGCAGTGATAGAGTGGCAAGAGGCTAGCAACATTAGCAGGGCGGATTATAATTCATCACCGACAATGCCACCGAAACACTTTTGAGCTTCGTTAAGTCTGGTCAGTGAAAATTGGGCAGCTCCGGTTTAGATATAGCAGCAATACTCCCTTTTTGGCTTAATCTGACTCTTGTAAAGTTAAAACATGGCAGAAGGAGTCAGCTATTTTTTGGAGTGGAAGAATGAGTCAACCATTTTCCCAAGTTTGGAAAGTGAGAATTGTGCAAGTCCAGCCCAGGTATGGCAACAATATTCCATATTCCATCTGATTCTTGTAATGACAGAAGGAGTCAGGTAGTTTCTGGAGCAGAAAAATGAGCCAATCACTTTCCCAGCATCTTTAGTATTGTATCACCTGTGGGGAAAAAGCCCAGATATAACAGTAATACTCCATTTTTGGTCTAATCTGACTTTTGTAAAGATAATGCATGACAGGAAGAGTCTGGTACTTTCTGGAGCTGTACCAGGAAACAATCATTTTTTTTTTTTCAGGATCTTTTTGGATCATATAAATGAGCTCCACTTGATGTGTAGAGTTGTCTTTAGTCCCAACAGAAGTTCAATGCAGGGAATCTCATTGAGAGTACGTCTTTTCATCAGGGCTGGAGGTGATGAAATAGCAATAATTAATCATATTTTAGTGTTTATTTTAGTTTTATATTGGCAATATTTTGCCTTACCTTAGCACTACTCCACCATTGTTCCTTTTAGCTTGAGTCATTTACTTCAGTAACAAATATTTTTGGTGGTCAGAGAAAAGCATATATATCTGGAGGCACAGTGAAGTAATTGATACATTGACTCAGAAGCAAATACTTTAGGGAAATGTATGAATCCATCTCTTCTCCCTCCCCATATGGGTTAAATAGCTGGATTTATAGCCTTGAGTGGCAACCGGTCTTAGGAGAAGAACAGCTCTGAATTCAAAATCTAACATGTGTATGTTAGCAATCTTTCTTTTAAACATGTTTCATTGAATATGACAGACAAGAACATTTTTTTTTTTTTTTTTTTTTTTCAGCATTCTTACATTTTTTGGTTTGGTGGGAGGAAGGGAGCGCAAAAATTACCCATGGTGTCCAGTGCCCCAAGCACTTTTGGCCACTTCTTTAGCCATTTTCAAGAGCATTTGTTTTCTAGTGTCATTAATTTTTCTTCATGTTTGACTATTTTTTGCATACTAGTAGATCTACATACATACACACACACATATATATATATATATATATATATATTAAATGTTATTTTAGTCTATTGTATCTCGTGTTTTTGAGACGAACTCATAGTTAAGTATTGAAAATGAAATAGAGGGTTTACTATATGAAGGTACATTTAGCAATTGAGAATGCTAACTAGATGACAGTTAATGTTGAATTTTATATGTGGCACCTAGTAAGGATCAAACTCCCAATTTAGTATTAATGCTCAACCAGACTAACCTTGCTAAAAATTACCCGTATGCTGAGTAAGATTGTTGACTTATTGTTGTATTCAAATCCTCGGCGCCAACTGTTGTATTTTGTGTTTTCAAGATAACAGAGGGAAATAAGGATGACAAACTCATAGGTAAGTAATGAAATAGAAGGTTTAATATACATAGGTACAATTTGCAATTGAGATAATGGCAACTCCACTTATTTGCGTAAACGGACAACTTTGTTCATTTATGACCTATATGCCATAGTAGATACTCATATTTGAGTAGACGCTCTGTTTATTTATTAAACCATCTATTTATTTATTTTCATCAGCCAGACTGAATATTTGAAAAATCTTAGAAAAATATTTTCTCTCTGGTGGGATTCTAACTTGGGTTCCTGTAGGGGAAGCCGTCATTCGATCTGGCGTGCTTTGACACTATGGAGTGTGTTGATAGCCAAACAAAGTCTGAATAGTGCTTTTAAATATTTTGCTAATATTTTTTGCCAACGTCCTGAAGGGACATGATTCTCTACAATTTCCTGTCTTTTGTAGATTAACCTATCTGGCGATTTTGAGTGAATGGAGAGCAGAATATGGCTTGGGAGAGATAGCCAAAAGGCAAAATTTATTAAGAGCTGCAAAAGACAGGAAATTGTGGAGAGCCATGATTGCCAACATCATGAAGGGACACAACTCTCCACAATTTTCTTGCTCTGCTCTCCATTTACTCAAGCTCACCAGACAGGTTATGCATTGTTCTCTTCTGTCTCTCTTACCTTCAATCTGCCCTGTGAGTATCAAATTTTCCAAGCCCTCTTTCCTCATTATGTGCCCTAGAAATTTCAACACTCTCTTCCTGATGTTAAGTATAAGTGTCTTTTTTGTTGCTGTTGTCTCTAAAACTTTGTCGTCGTTCACATATTCAGTACATAGTATTCTCAGCATCCTTCTGTAGAATCACACTTCTCTTGCTTAGTCTCTTCTCCATCTGTGAGGAGATTATCTAGTATGCATTGTCATATAGGTTGACTGATATTACATAACAGTTCAGTACTCTTTTCTTTGTTTCTAACAAAATTTTTCTGTTTCTTAATACTTTGCTTAGATTTTGGAAGGCATCTTTTCTTTTCTTTTTTTTTTTTTAAATCTTTTTTTCATAAAATAATAGTTGCAATTAATTTATTGAACAGTTACCTGGAATTGAAAAGCAGATGAACGATAATCACGAGACCGTGTTGACGCCTTTGGTTAAGTTGGACACTCCTGGAAAGGCCACCGTTGAGGTGGTCATCTGTGCTGACCCAGTAAGTTTTTGTTTTTTTCTTTCATTTAGAACATTTACAACAAGTAAGTATATAATTAATATAAGAAATCTTATTCTTTTCACCTGAGTGGGTGGGTGGTTGTAGGTGGTTGACAATTTAGAGCAGTGGTTCCCAAATGGTGCAGTGCACCTCATAGGTGTGACGGAAGAGGATAGCAGGTGAGGCAGAATGATTGAAAGACAATCAAAGTCCAACCCTTACCTCACAGTTTTTGGAAGAATTGTAAACAGTAGTGTCAGAGCTATATCGCCCAAACTTCGTTCCTGGTAGGGCCACGCAAGGCGGACAGGTCTGACACACACATTGCCAACTAACAAGGGCTCTTCAAAAAAATATCTGCATCTGCATCGGTAATTGCGGCTTCTGGTCGTTCCTGTCACTGCGTCTGTGGGAACCCGCGGAAAGCAAGAACGTTATCAGAGTAGGCCTGGGTACCATTTGCTTCTGTAATTTATCCCAAGAATCTTCTTCTCACAACAGGAAGATGTTTGGCTCAATCCGCCCAGGGTGAATGTTTCATCACACACACAAAACACACACACAATCAAAAGTATTAGTATAGTGGTATCTGCCACACAGAGTTTACCGACTATTCTGTATTAGGAAGAATAAGTATTTTAGTCTTCCAGTATTAATTTCGATAACATTAATATTAGCATTAGTGTAGCCATTGATACACTAACACTGAATACGAATATAGAAAGAGGGATTAAAACGCTTGAGCGTAACAAACAAAACGTTTAATATGACAAACAACTTACGGACATAAATTCTAAAGATTCACATATGTCCCAAAACAAATGATTGTCCATATTGTCCCAAGGAAACGAGGAGGTTTACAGAATTAGAACAAAGTAATAACATACCAAATGGCCTTTTGGTCGTCCATCAATAAGTGAACTGAAAGTACGTTTTTTTTCAGCTAGGCCATACACATGTAGACCAGTTTCCACGTGTGTGGACACACTGGTGGTCAGGAAGGTAAAGAGGCAGTTCCTCCCAGAAAGGAAGTAAAGACAAAAAAGGGCAGAAGAGTTCTACTCTCTAAAAGGGGCCAAAACTCTCATGAGCTAAACCCAAGGGAAAACAACTGTGGTCTCCCTACAAAAGATTTAGAAACAGTTTCAAAAAAATTCATATACCAAAAATAAGTATTATTTCAAAATTTAAAATATTATGGATTACCTGTAATTGCATGCATGAGTCCCAGTATAAATAGTTATAAATAATTATTGACTGATTTTAACACAGCGATATTTTTTTTGCATTCTATCAAGTATTAAGAATATAGTAATTAGGCTCCGCAAATTGGAGGCGAGAATTATCAATGATAATGTTCTGACTTCGAATCTGAAGTTACCTCCCTTTAACCCTCTCTGTTTTTTTTTATTTTTAAACTAGCAGTAGAGCCCGGCGTTGCCTGGGGAGGTAACAGTAAGAGATAGATCAAATATCGACCATCATAAAGACTGAAAAATAAAATTGACAAAGATTATTGTTTAAGGTTGACGGACACGCATGTCTTAATTAGTTTTTTGTTTTGTTTTTTTTTTTTTTTTACAAATTGGTCAAACTCAAACAAAAACATTGTTTTCAATCGTTATGAGTCTACCGATTGAATAGTTTTATTATAAACAATTGCCTTGTAAATGTAATTTTTAAAGCATTCTGAATGTAAAAATAAAGAAAAAAGTGTGCAAGACAATAAGAAACACTACCTGCCAAAAAAAAGTGAAGTTTTGTTGAAATCGGTTGAAAAATGTAAGAAATCCGATCCCATATATAAACGAACACATACACGCACAAACCTGGGTTTCATAAGTATAACTCGATATGAGTTGTCCCCTTTCATTCTCGCGATAGTGATGTTCTTAATCGTGTTTTCAAATTGATTTTGTGCAAAAACAATTGTGTTTTTTCCAATTTTTGGCGCTGTCGGAACCACACTTGCTAAAGGTAATTTTATGTAGTCCTGTGAAGTTTTGTTGAAATTGCCAGAAAAAAATGTAGGAAACTGATCCAATATATAAAACGTACAGACACACACACACACACACACAATGCGTTTTTATAATAAGTATGATGTACTTTTTATCACATAAAATTTGCTGAAGCACGAGCAAATTTGCATTCCAAAACTGCAGCCCAGAGAAAAATAAGTTGATCGCTGATCTAGAGTAATTCTTTTTCAACTTTTTTATTTTTTTTTTTTTTTTTTAAACTTCTGACACACTTGAGCCTATAGCAAAACTTCCCTGGGGCAGTGATTTTCAATTTTCTCTCACAAATCCTTGTTGGAATCTTACAATGTTTTTGTCTGACTGATTTGTGGGCTCCGAATTTTTGCTTATCGCTTTTTCTCTCCCTTGAGCGCCTATTGGGACTTAAACTCAACTCAGACCTCAAGTGGAACTCATACATTCAATCCAACACAAAGCCAAGTGGAGCAACCCACATTCCTAAAACAAATTGGAACCAATAATTTAAGTGGTCTGATTTTCATAGATGATGCATTGTCAATTATTATTCATTTTTGACTTTGCTGTTTTTCATTGCAACACTCAATGTCTATTTTCTATCTGTGTTGAAGATCAAAGAATGAGAGTTTGAGTTTAATTTTTTTTTTACAACATACAGAAAAAAGTGTGTGGGGAGGAAGGAATACTCAAGTTGTTAATTGGACTTAAGCAGAAGCATTGTCAGTCATTATTAATTCTTCACTAGTCTGTCTTTCATCTTGTTTCTCTTGCTTGTTTATACTTAGTAACAATAGTGTCCTGGGTAAGACGTTAAACTACGTCCAGAAGCAAGGCCTCTGATCAGGAGGTTTTGAGGAGCGTGGAACTACCTCTTAATTGCTGGTGTTCCCAGGTCCACCCTTACCTGGGGTGGTAGCACCTGTTAGGGTCCCAGCTATGGGCAAATAGATAACTATTACCAGCAATACAATTTTGAAGGAAATATATTATCAGAAACAGATTTTTGACAAAACAAAATATTACCAGCAATAAAAAATTTTGTCAGCATTAAATAACCCATTGAGGTTGATATGCCATTAAACAAAATAAACCAAAACAATCTAAACCAAAGAATACATATTCTGTTCACACAAATCTATCCTAAAAATGTTGTCAGCATTAAATAACCCATTGAGGTTGATATGCATAAAACAAAACAAAATAAACCAAACCAGACCAAATTTAGTAACAATAAGATGTCATAGTTTTGTCCTGGGTATGATGATAAACTACATTTGGCAGCAAGGTCTCTGATTGGATGGCTTTGAGGAGTGTGGAACCACTTCTTAATTGCTGCTGTTTCCAGGTCCACCCTGTTCCAGATGGTAGCACCTGTTAGGGTTCCAGCTATGGGCAAATACTGAACCTCCAAACTGGGATCAAATCATGAAAGTATAAAAATACATTTTTTGTGGTAAGAATACCAGCAATACATTTTCATAGTAAAAAAAAAAAAAAAATGCCAGCAATACATTATTGGAAAATAAAATTACCAAAGCTCCCAAGAAAATTAAATTTTGGCATTATGACCCATAAGGAGTTGATATGCCATTAAACAAACCAAATGTCATAATTTTATTTTTGTTGCTTTTTATCTAGAAAAATTCATTTGGATTTCATATGTAAATAATTTTCATCATCATTATTATTATTAATTTCAGCCACTAGTTTATCTTTCATCTTCTTATTGTTGCCTTTTAACACAATGCTCAGGTTATTTTGTAGTTAAGAGACATTGATGTAAAAAATAAAGAAATAATTACTAAGGGGATTTGAAGAGACATTGATGTAAAAAAATAAAGAAATATTTACTAAGGGGATTTGAATTTGTAAGGCTACGAGATGCAAGACAAAATCTGATTAAAGAATATCATATTTTGCTGTTTATAAGACATTTTTCCCTATAAAATATCTCTAAAAAACTACTCTGTGTTCTATTGAGTTGGTGCATAATTATCAGGCGTTTTTGTGAGTTTTTTGTTAATAAAAATTGCTGTTTTGTTTTCTGTTTTTTAATAAAAATATTATTTTATTTTCAGGTTATAAAAATGTGTGTCAATCATACTCATTTAAAAATGTTATTGTTGAATTGTTGTGTTTCTTTTTTCATAATAAATATTCTTTAAAAACGCCTGATAATTATGCACCAACTCAATATATAAATTAAAGGTCAGTGGCACAAATAAGTTTGGGGTGAGTATCAGCTCCCCAGTTACAGATTACATGAAAGTAAAACAAGTCAAATGTTTCAAAATTAAATTAACATTTTGAGATAAACTATTTATACAGTTGGGAAAAACTTGTAGAGTTTATTGGTCATGTGGATTTTGAGCTATAACCCCAGTATAAGGATTCAGCAGTACGGTAAGCTCTATCATTTGTTTTAACCTACACATAAGTCAAACTTAACCTTATTTCTGTATCAAAAGTTACATATATCTAATTTAAAATTAGCACTCCATCTTGGTTTGTGATGAATTTGTCCTGTTTGGTAAGGATTTCAGGCGGCAATAAGGTGAGGTTTCAGTCGTATTATGCACTATAACTTCTCTTTTAGTTATGACATTCTAAATCGTTTTTTGTTTCTATTTTTTGTTTTTTAATTGGAATCACTCTAAGCAAGGCAGCACAACCACTAAAACACAAGGGTGGGGAAGAATTAGAAACAGAAACATTAATGATGAGTGGAAAGAGAAATCGGAAGGACAGGGGATAGCAATTATCATTGCATTTAAATTTTTGCAGATTAACGTTGGCTGGAAAGCATGGAACCAGAAGGGTCTTCCACAGGCAAGAAGTGCGATAGAAGAAACTATAAATTATAAAGAAGTTACTATAAATTTGGTTCTTTTTGGCCTTTGATGAATTTGTTGTGATTAGACAGGTTTTCATGTGGAAATAATGCTATACAGTTTGTAAAATTGGGGATTTGTTAATGTCTAATTTTTAACAGATTTTTCT